CCCACTGCTCAGGCCGCGCTGCTGCTCACAGTTTCCTCTGCCGGCACCGGGAGCCTTTTTCCAGCCCCGCCGGGGAGGGCCGGCGTCACGACACCCCGTGCCAAGTGACGCCACGAACACTGGCTCGGGGGAACACTGGCTCGGGTTTTTTCTTTTTAAATCGAGGAAGTTGAACAACACCAGCTGAAAAAGCGCCCTGTACAGTAGTGAAATTTTATTACAAGTGTAATAAACTTAATGATTTTTAGCACTAAGGCAATCACAGCTTCATAAGTTATATATATATATAAATTTACACAAGTCTACATTGATAAACCAATTACCGGTCACATGGCTGAGGGGTTCTGTGTTACGGCAACGTTTATGAAAATTCACAGTTAATCTGCAAGTATTTGAAAGATGCAGGAATCATATTGCACATCGTAAAACACGCCGAGGAGCAGATTTACAGTGTTCCAGCTATTCCTTCACAGAATTTAAATTGGTCATCATCATGCAAGAACTTCAAATACAGAACGGTATCGTGTACCACAGTAAACAGTTACTCACAATGTAAGTTTTACAAAGAGTAGCAAAAAGCTGTTAGGTTTCTCTTTAAACCATATTTCAATTTTTAAAATATAATAAAACACTTTGATAAAATCAAACGGAATTACGGTTGTCATATTACACTTTCAGTATTCTTCTTTGTCCTTTCCTTTCTTCTCCTTTTCATCCTGTAGTGCAGTACCAAGTTTCTTTATGAGGACTGACAAAACTTTGTCCAAAGGATCCATGACACCGCGCTGCAGCCACTTAGGAATAGTAGTCCTTGCGTGGTGAAAGCCCAGCTTTTGGAGGATGTAGTCAACGCCAACGGGATCAATTTTTCTCCCAGTCCAGGATATTAATCTATAAAACAATAAATAGAGGACCCAGTCTCATATATATAAATTATATAAACTGGCATTTGTATAAACAAACACCCATTTTTACCACTGTTACTTCTGACCCACTTAAGTCCAACAGGCAGTGTTTCAAACTTCATTTGTACAGATCAGCTGAAGATGACCAGTGCAACATCCTCTCAAAGGAAGAGGATCCTCAAGGAGGTAAAAAACCCCAGACTCCGCTGCTTCTAGATCACATTTAAATTGATTATTACTGCTAACACAAAAGGCCAACTGTTAAGGTTTGTGTGGCCTGGGATGATGTGTGGTTTCGATATGTGAATGAACACTGAGGTGTGCTAGCAGTGTCAACAGAGGTTAAAAGACAAACAAACCCTGACACAGAGAAAAGTATATTAAGAGCAGTGAGTTGCTGCTATACACTCAATTCTTTTGTGCTGAGTTTCAACTGTCATGTTATAACTTGTATATAGTGCTTTTTTATTTTAAGGAGATTGCTTGAAGAAGAACTAAAACTGGAATGCTAAGAATGGAAAATTGCAAGATGACAAACTGTATGTCAGAAAGTGAATGGACTGTTGTAGGACAGAGAGTCATCTGTGGCCCTTACTGAGTTTATTGTATCCTAATTTTGAACAGCCTCCAACACTATCTTTCATCTGCATAAATTCTAATCTAGAAGTGAACTGATGTAACAGGTTTATCCAGCTTTTGGCATGTCCTGCAGCAGGCATCTTGCACAGCAGCACTAATAGCCGAAGAGGAATCTTAACAGCATCCACATGACTGACCCTCTTAGGAGCCCAAGGGGATCAGCTTGGAAACACGGGTGGTTTGCAGGACAGTACCAACAGGTAAAACACGTAGACAAAGAGACTGCAGACGGGCCTGCCTCTTACCTGAGCGTGGGTTCCAAATGCCAAGTATTGCACATAAATTCTCTCCAGTCGACTGTAGTGTAAGTAATGCTTTCCTCTGCCTCTTTGTCAGTGGAGCTGTCCTCAAGAACACCAACGGAGTTTTTCTGCCCTGGACGAGCAGTCAAAATACGAGGAGGAAAAATTGCTACAAAACGGAGAGAGGAAAAACGCCACACCAGTCAGTCAGGAGCATCCCACTTGAGTTAACATCTGAAATATATTTATCTACGATCAACACCTACAGTGCCGCTATGACCTTTTCCAAAGCTTAATTAATTTAGTAGGTTTTAGATACTCGTGGCCGTAAGTACTTGTAAAGCATTCAAGTCACTAGGGGATGACTAGGTGATGACCTTCCCTTCAACAAGCAGGTAATCACAGAGCACAGTCATTCCGTACCACACTGCTTATTCACCCGAAGTTTGCAACCACAAAAATCACTGTTTGACGCACTTTACGTATACATCAAACTCACTCGTCTTTAATTTGCTCTTCTTAGCAAAGCTTAAGAATGCATGTGCCAAATCTGAATGCTGACACTCAGCATATTCACTCAGAAAAGTAAAGCATTCTGAAGTCAGAAAAATTAAAAGCATTCTGCAGTTGAAAGAAACTCCACTGATGAAAGGACTGCAATAAAAGTAATGGCGCTTCCTAAAATAGTTTTCATCTGTATATACCATCTTACAGAAAGAACGTTAAACACCAGCTGTCAAAATAGGAGCAAGGTTCTGAGGTAGAGTAACTAGCACAAGGTCATCGCTAGCAGGTGCACTGGAGGCGACCACACTGGTTTTGAACAACCAGCCGTACCTACAGCGCAGCCAAGTGCCACACCGAGTCAGTGACGCAGCTCCCTGCCCAGCGGTGGCAGGCCGGCACAGTGACACTACGAGGTCTGCAGTCTGCATGCAACTGCTCTGCTTCCAGTCCTACAGGAGCTGACTTAAAATCAGCTCAAATATTTCCTGAGCAACGCTGCATTGTTGCAGAAGTGCCAAAATAACCCTTGTCTTTCAGTCTAAAACAACCCAGAAAAAACTTTGTGTTACTATACAGTTAAATTTCAGTTATCAGTGATTGAAAGAGGTAGGTATCATTTCATAGCATCAAGTCCAGATTTCAAAAACCTTTAATACTACTATTATTTATTTCAATGGAAGCAAAGTTAGGCTTAACTTTTTAAAAACTAAATCCATTTTCAACAAGTCAACTCTATTAAAAATATGGAAATATTTACCAAGTATTTTGACAACTGCAGATTGTCAGATGAGTGTTGTCTCGTAAATAGCGACTTACCCTTTTCTTTTTCTTTTAGATAGGCAGATACCAAGTCGTGCAGAAACATAATCAATTCAGCATCCATAGTTACACAAATGTGGTCTGTAAATTCAGTTACAACACTGCATTCCACCTTTGGTTTAACACTCATATCTACAGTCAGATAAAAACAGTATTAATACACTTCTAAGTACATGCAGTTTCCATAAAGTACACAGATTTTTAATACAAATTATTTGAAAATTACATTGCTGTTACTGAACCAGAGACTCAAAAGAGAGGAAGGACCACAGTTAACATTGTGTTTAGCAGCCTCAGCATTTTTTAAACAGTTTTCCCATCACAGAAACTTCCGGTATTTTATAAAAGATGCTGAAAATAAAGACATACTACCACGTAGCAACCTTGACCATCCTCAGCGTGGAGCAGCATCACTAGCTTGTGCAATGCTATAATGCATGACTTGGAACAGTCAGAAAAGCCAAGAGCAGATTTTGCTAGTTTGGCTATTAAAAAAATAACCAAAACCCAACAGATTGATGTCCAGGATCAGGTATGTAGTAAACCTACAGCTCAGCCAGGATAAACACCTACGTTAATGTCTTATACCTTCAGAAGTCTTACTTCCCACCAGTTCCAATTTCAGCCTGAAGATAACGTTTTGAAAACAAGAGCATAACATTCAGGTCCCTACCTTGTATTCCCTTTTTTAGAATGGCCTTCCTCTAACATTTTCATAAAAATAAAAAACCCAACTCACTAAAAACAGCCAGCCTAGCTGAAATGTTCATATTAATTTCTCTTAGCAAGTGAGCAGTCTCTGGACTAGATCTTCACTCTCTCATCAAGATTCCCTCTACATTTTATTAATGAAATGGTATCCTTTCTTGCAGACCTGCAGGAATTCTCAGATCAAACCCTCTTATCAGCAGAGTAGCTTTGTATTTAACTCCTAGTTTATGAGAAACAGCTTTGGATCAAGAAAAAACAAACTCTGTTTACTGCACCTTGTAATGAAGGCTCCTGGGGCTCTTGAACATGAATAGATTTAAAATCCAGCTGCATCCTTGGCAATGCAAAGATGGTTTCAGTCTCGTGGTTGTAACTGGAGCCACCTCTGAAGCCACTTAGCAAGCTTGAGCTTTTCACTGTTGTGCTGCTCTCTGGGTTGTTAGCATCAACGTTTCGAAGCAGGTTTAACTCTACAGGGACAAGGGGAAATGCCTGAATTCAGTAGTCTTTACAAAAAAAAAGGTTCTTGTCAGCACAGAGGGTGATACACTTTCACAAAATACATCTCATAAGAAGAAGGGAGTAGGAAATAGGTGTCAGCACCATAACATCTAAGCACCACTAAGAATCTTTGTTAGTTTTTTGAAAGCTTACAGTCCAAGTTTCATTCATCTGACCGCCCTATCACAACTCTGTTGTAGTAATGATCTTACAGTTAAGTGAGATACAGGCCCTATGGGTTCAAAGTGCACCCTTTGTGTTTGAAAATATGGTAGTGCTTAAAATGAAAATAAATGTTCCTGATTAATACAAGTAATACCGAAATTCATCAAGGCAGCACTGCTGTCAAAAGTCACCTTTGACAAGGGATCGAACTTTGTCACAGGACTTTTACCACAGAACACAGGAAATATCATTTGAATTTGTTTTCAGTTGTTAAAGTCGTGACAAGACAAAAAGGTTGAGAGGTTACTGTTTCATTGTAATACTACTGGTGTATGATTATGAAGACAATTATATCCTTTATCCTGCTACTCAAAGCATGGCTACAAAAGGTCAAACAATCAAATGTTGTTTACATACTTAAATGCTCTGAATGCAGCAAACCAGGGGTGCACAAAACCATCTAACAGACAGTGCTTCTACTTGTGAACTTCGACCACTACATCCTGCTGTGTCTTTCAAAAAGAATAAAAATTAGTACAGTATATCACTATTTTCAATATACTTCTTCCAAGAAACTACTGTCGTCTCATTTCTGCCACATTCTACTGTTCATCCTTTCACAGAAATTCTGTTGACATCACCTACTGATTCTATGGTTTGTGAATGAAATAATGACAGCTGTATGTTAAGATGTCTTTTATCTTGAAAGTTTTATTTTCCAATTAACAGTGATTTGAAGGTATGATTCAAAATGTTTTAAGGCCTAGAAGTTGCTGAAGGTTGAAAAGCTTTAGGCAGTTGAGTAGTTTTCCAAGTGTTAGTTGTAAGTGGTGACAGAAGCCTAAAATATATTCCTACGTCAACTTACTCCATAAATTCTTCATATACAGTGAATTGTATTCTCACGTTACAAGATCACAACTGGACATGAAACAAGAAAATTTTTTGCATCTAGTGAAAGAGGAAAAGACTAGAACTACTGCAATGCCAGATACATAAACGACTTGTATGCTACTGCAATGCCAGATACATAAACGACTTGTATGCTAACAGAAGAGTTTGGCTTTACTTCGCAGTTTGAAAAAGCTTCCCTCCAGCTGTTCAGCACGTTGCTGTGCTTCATTCCACGGTTCACCATAAGGTTCTCAAGAAGAAACAATTTCCAGTATTTCAAATTCCCTTCTCCCTGTAGCCCATTTGAAAATCAGCAGCTTTTAAACAGCACAATCTGCACTGCCTGGCAAGTAGACCAATCCCCAAACGTAATGAAGATGAACCTGACCTTCATTCCTCGTGGCCGTAACGTAATTGAACCACTCTTTCACGCTGGCAACTCCATGGGGAGGGTTTTCATGGCGGCGCCTCGTTATCTTGGTGATTGTTGCCATAGGGCTTTCGAGGGCTCCACACGGTTTGGTGACCATAGTGTTATGGCCCAAATGGAAGTCCAGGGTTTGCACAATATACGTGGAATGTTCACTAGTCCCTGCATTGAAAGGGTGGGTGGTGTGGGGTGAGAGAGAAAAGAGAGAAACAGGAAAAGCAGCTCAGTAAAGGGAGTAGGATTTCTCCTCTCACTCTCCTCACACAGGTATTTAACGTGAATAATGAGTATGCCAGTGCCATTAAAAACTGGTATAAGGCTTGCAAACAGCAGAAAAATGAAATCCTCAGTAGCTACAGACAGTAAAAACTTTGCCTCAATATGAAGGCAAATATAAGCAATAATACCATCAAAATTCATCATACAGAACCAAAGGACTACATAAACACAGATATGCCACTAACAAGGCAGAGAATCCCCTTTGTAGGCATATTATCAGGGATGTATCTAGTATATTTGAAAATGTACTTTGTATTATTTCACAGATAAAGAAAATGATGGTAAAGATGGAGATGGAACCCATTATTAACTTAGGTTAACTTTAGGTACATTTCACAGATCCACAGAATGGTAGGGGTGGGACCTTTGGAAAATATTCTTGATTCAGACTTAAGGAAAACAAGTTCATTGATTTCTTCGTATGTAACAACACATTCTTAAAATTCATTTAAAGGAATTTAATGAAGTGAGGAAATAGTTTAAATTACCATCTTCCCAAACTTTCTGGGCTTCTGTCCAAAATGCAATATTGGGTTCTTCAAGGTGAAACAAAGCCCAAGATTTTGAGCGGAAATTAGGTCCATGAAAACAAGCCAGCGTCATATGGTTCCCATGCAGGCTCATGGAACCTCCAAATTGCATTCCATCTTCTGGCAATGGCATCTGAAATAAGGATATATGGCACCCAGATACCACTTTCAAAACTCCCGGCCAATGGCGGTGATGGGCTGCATCCAACACTAGAAAGGAAGCACGCAATGGCAAGAACAAACTTTAGGAAAATGAAAGACAGAGAAAAGATTGCTGCCATATTTATATTTTTAATAAGACATGGAATTTTAACCGATATTTTCCAATCTATTTAATTAACACTGTTCCATCTTTGTGATCTGCAGAGAGTAAGAATAACATCACACTTCCAGTGCTATTCCAAGCTGAAATGCTTTTTTATGAAATAGACTTAAAATTAGAAATAGGCTTTTTTTATGAAATAGACTTCAAAATAGACTTTGAGAACTATTTCAACTCTACTGAAATAGTTTGAAAATTGCAAAAATAAATTAATTTTTTATGTTTTAAACAAAACCCACATATTTTTAACTAAAACCTGAAGATAACATAAGTTAGCTCGTTATTGTACCCCAGGTCTAGCAGGGTAGTCAAGACATTTGCATTCTTCAAGGCTATCACCAGCCCCAATTTACAGGAAAGATGTACCAAGAAATTATTTCAAGTCAGATAGATATACTTGCATGTATAAATTGCTCAGATGAATTTCTGCAATGAAAATATTCCACTTGGGAAGTATTCTGGTTTTTGTACCACTTACATTGCTCATGTGAGCTTCTCTCTAAGTTGTTGGCCATTGTCTTGGGAGGGAGATAAGGAACAGGTCCCCAGGTGGACAAAGCTCGTTTGCTTGTATCAAACTGCTGAGTAAAGAACTCCTGGAGTTTCATTCCTATTTTTATTAGGTCTGGTGTAGTCGATCTTGAAATCATCACTTGGAAGATATCCCATTTCAAGTCCCCATGGACAAATATCTCGCTAGAGATTAAAAACAGCAAGAACATTAGCAGTTAATCTATTTCTTCCTGACAATTAAAAAAAAAACCTCAACAAAAACCAAACAAACCCAAAAAACCCAGAACAAAACAAAACACAACCAAAAAACATGAACCCTTTGCTTTCTAGCAGACGCTTACGTTTTTGGTTAGCAGTACTGGACAGAAGACATATAAGCAGAATTTGACCTTATCAAACATGATACATTTGGATCACAGGAAGCAGTGTTACCTTTTATCAGAGATGCTCGAGTCCAAAGCATTATACAGATTAATTTTCCATTCATCTTGTAGCTTAAGATCAGCATTACTGAAGATTCCCATTAGGATACTGGACCCCATATAATCAACACGTGCTTCAGTAGAACCCATAGTAATTTGAATTTTATGACTGGGCTGTTGGTTTGGATGTTCCGAAATATGAGCTGAAATGGAACCAAAGCAACACAGAAATCTCACATTAAAAGATAAGAAATTTGTTTTTTCCAGTGATATCCCCCTTGTGCCATCCACGTGATACAGAGGGACTGCCTAAGAAAGCACTAGTTACTTCCAGAAGCATAGGGAGGTCAAGGCTGGTGAAGAGCCAGAACACCCAGTCTCTTTCCAAAGCCAGTTTTACATTTCCCAGACCATTAGCACTTATCAGATTCCAGGAGGAGCTGAAATGCTACCAAGTCTCTTCAGTTGCCATCTCTTCAGACAGCTGAAGGGGACTGGAGGGTTGAACAACTAGCTAGTGTAATTTTGGAGTGACCCTGAGACTGAATCAGTCCCTGATCAGAAGGCTATCCCTTCGATTCAAAGTGTGTTTCATAGTCAGAGCACACAAGTAAGAGTCCAAAGTGTCTATGTACCAGCCGGTTCACAAAGTGAGGTACTGTGTATATTCTTTAGTTTTCACATTCATTGTCTGGAGCATATACTAATGCCAGACAGCTTTCCTACTTACCCACCATCTCCAGGGTATTAACATCGATGGTGCCCCCAACAACACCTCCCCTGGAGTCCAACTGTGATCTTCCCAAGCCAACAGACATGCTGATTTCCCGATCTCTGCTGCTACCCACAGAGAGACGACCCTGGCTTTTCAAACCACTGGTGGTCCACCTAGAACAGAGGTGAAAACAAATAATTTTTTCCAGGCTGTCAAAAGAGAAACTGAAAGTTATTTACTGGAAAAGCAGTAAATCATGTGGTTTAGGCATACGTGACTTCAGGATAAAGCATCTACCAGTATCCATGAGGGGCTTCACAACTCTTAATGGAAAAAGTAAGGATTTTAAAGCAAAAAGACAACAGGCTGTTAATAGTCTGTGGGGAGATTGGGGGTTTGCCCCAAAACAACACTGTCTCTTAAAACATGCTTAATCTTGGTTTATACTCACGTAGTATTGCCCATTACGTTGCTCATATTCATTTGAACATTTAATTGTTTTAGGTTCATAGCAAATACAACCAGTGTTTCCCATGGTGTTCCTTGCTGGCTTCCAGCTTTATTTGACTTATTAAATGGCGTTGATGTTTTTGAGAGAGTATCTAAAGAAAAAAGACGACAAATTTAAATTATTCCAAATGCTAGGAAAAACTGACAGAATATATGCATTGTACGTATTCAAAAGGACAAAATAACACCATTATCTAAGGAGCACCACAAAATGATGAGTGGGGATAAGTGAGAACTAGAGGATTTGCAATACACGTTTCTTCAGTTGTCATAGAAATCGAATCCTTTCACACATTTATTTTACACATTTACTAATAGCTTGAGAAGATACTAATTTGAAGTTAGTCATGCCTAATTTAAATTGTTCAACTGTTTGTTTATTTTAAATGTATTTTTAAATACCAGTGTAGTCAGAAAATGAATTACTAGTATTTGAATATTCAGGTAGTAGTAATTTGCACAAGTGCCAAGACAGTATTAGGGTTTTCCTTGCCCTTCTCACAAAAATTCTGGCAATATTGTTATAAGCTTGTGAAAAATGGCATTTCCTATGAAGAAGCCACTCTATCAAGCCATAAATCCTTCTCCAACTGTGTCTGCTCCTCAAAACTGTTCATGTATAGCCTCTTGTTTGCTTACTAAATAGACAAAATACCCGTCCTTTCTTTTCTCACAGCTATTTTTCCTAGACTAAAATAAGCACCATACTTCTAAATTTCATACCTAATGCCATAAATATTCTACACAGCCAGTGCTACGCTGCTGTAAGATACAATACAGTAACGTTTGTAGTAAAAGAAACCAACAGTTACATTACTCCTTGCATAGAAACTAACCTCACTTAGACCTCTTAGTGAGTCCAAAGTCTCAGGTGAAATGAAATAAATGACCTGACCCACGAGCTCTGATACTGACCCTCTGCGAAGAGCATGGTAATTGCTTGGATGAGAACAGAGGGCCAAGAAGATGACAGTGCGGCCACATAAAGCTGGAGAACTCATCTAACCCCAGCTAAGCAACTCCCGCTCTAGTAACAGAAACGGCAATTTTATAGAAAGTACTATATTTTGATTCACCCATTTCAGACGTTTTTCTTTCTCTAAACCATTGACTCTCCACTCCCACGTGCAGCAGAGTGTTTTACGGTGGCCTTCTACAAAGCAGTAACAGCATACTTTCTTCATATGACTGATGGAAATACTTTAAAAAACTAAAGAAACCGTTGCCTACTAACCTCTCTGAGGCACTGAAGAGTCAGACACGCTCCTGGACCTTGTAACAGCTGGAGACTTTAAGCTGTGAGATGCTGTCCCAGGTGACATACTGCTGCTGGCACTGTGTTCACTAAAAACATTAGGGGACTGTGCCATGTGTGTAAATGAGGCAGATTGGCAGGGCTGCTCCCATGTCCTACAGTATGCTTTCCGTGACGATTCAGGAGAAAGATGCTGGGTTACCCCTTCAATTGAATCTGGTGTTCCAGGACCCGATGCTACTGGAAAAAAAGCAGCACAAGAAAGGCAGAAAAATTATTTCAATATCCTCACGTATAGTAAGAAGTATTTGGAGAGTGTCAAAATATATTTCATTTATTGTAATTAAAGGCTTTCTACCATCTTCATTAATATAAGATCTTCAAATAGTTCAATGACCTACTTCAGAAATTTGCCACTTCTTCTTCCTAGAATTTTCATTTAAACCTACTAGACTGACTGAATACGGAGTAAATTATAATACATTTATATCTAGTCACACATGTTAGAATAATAGGTAATAAGTGTTTATCAAATTCCTACTACAACTGCTTGTACAAAAAAGTTTTTCATGAAAAGAAGCAGTATCCTACCTGGCAGATTTATTGTTTGATCACCAAGGAAAAGCCGTCTAGCAATGCTTCTCCTGTACCAAGCCCTCGGGAAGGCCAGAATCTCACTGAGTCGCCGCATATCATATTTAAAAGAAGCAGATCCTATATCACAGACAGCTGACAAAGAAAAAGCAGATACACACAACTGTACATTCTCAGTAGTAATTGGTTTTGGTAACCATATGTAATGAATAGCTGTTTCAGTATAGTCAAATACCTCTTTACCCAGCAGTATAATAAATGCTCTGCTGTAATACATAAATAGTTATTAAAACCCGCAGTTTTCCTGAGGTGTTTCTCCAAATCCAGTATTAGATACAAACACATTTCATAAAGGCAAGATGGAACTTATGAACTAACTGCTGTTCCTACTTGTGTTGTATGCCATAACCACCAACCCCCCCTTCCTCCTCCTTTCCCTGAGCTTTTATTACTGAGTGCAACATCATATGCTATGGAATAGCCCTTTGGTCAATTTGGGCCAGCTGTCCTGGCTGCATCCCCTCCTTGGCAGAGTGGGAAAGAGAGACGGCCTTAAGACTGTGCAAGCACTGTTCAGCAACAGCCAAAACACTGTTTTTTATCAACACTGTTTCAGCCACAGATTCAAAGCACAGCACTAGAAGAACTGCTATGAAGAAAGTTCACTCCATCCTAGCCAGAGCCCTTACAATCTCAAAATATTGAAGGTCATGTTAAGTCACACGGACTGATGTCAGAGATGTGTTTGAGCAAGCCTGTTTAGTTACATTAAATGAATCAGGAGGCTAAAAAGGTGCAAATAAGTACTCCAAGTACCATTAAAATCTAATATATCAATCCCTACTTCATTCAAAAAGAGCAAAAATTTTACTACAGACTACAAGTAGATGGCTTTCACGTAACATCTACAAAAGCTGCTGAGTAAAGTATGACTGGAACAGCAATTCTGTAATGAGCTGACAGATGGGATTAAAATGAAACAAGCATTTACCAGATATGTTTATCAAGGTAGTATCTATCTTGCTGGTAGCTTTGCTCGCAGACTGACTTTCAAAAAAGGAGGAACCTCCTGAACGCCTTATTCGTGACAGGCTGACTTTCACAAACTCCAGGTTAATGCTCAAAGAATCCTTCCGGCCAGTGACCGAAGTTGGTTCCTCATCCACATTACCTAGAAAAAGAAAGGAAAAAAAGGTTAATCTTCTGTGACCTTTTCAAATCTTCATTTCAGAAAACCATGCCAAACATGAACAATGTTCTTTACAGCAAACAAAAGCTTGTTCTGTACCTAAGGCTCCTGATCCAGGGGTTAGAACAGTAACAGCAGATTTTTGTTTTCCAGCTCCATATGGATGGAAGACGTACAGGGAAAAGTCGGACATGCAGGCAGTAAAGCTCAGGCCTGAAGAGCTGCTGCTAGAAGAAGTCAAGTCTGACTGACTGCTGCTGTGCCGTGTTCTGCCAAGAGGGCTGCCTAGGCCAGGCGACGAACCTGAAGTCACATTTTTTTTGTGCAAAAGCTAGTTTTAGTACAAAAGCATTTTTAAACATGAAATAATAGTTAATGGCAATGTTTAATAGAGTAAATGCACATCAGATTATGCCCTTGTAGCGGCAATATAGCTTAAATATATTCTATGTACTGATGCTAGCTTTTTCTAAGAGATAACTCGCTTAACCATAACCAATACAAGAAAAACTTTAATACCGTATCTGTGCGAGCTTCTACAGGAAACGAGTAAAACATGAAGCAATCCCACTGAACTCACTAATACATAAATGTCTACCCTTAAGGTGTGTGAAAGATGATCTTCTGCTCTAATTTTAGACAGCAGAACATGCTATTTATTATGCTACAAGCCGCACGTAGCACAAACTTTCATATACATGTTACCTGGTGCTCCAGATTTACTAACTGAATTCTTTGAGCCACTCTGGGAAGTACTGCCACCAACTGACACATTTTCTGATGGGTACGTTGTGCCTAATGTTTCCAGCTCTCCTCGGTTGGAAGAGAAAACAAGATCCAAGGAAGGCAACTTCAGCATACATTCAACTCTTGATACTGGCAAGCAACTGAACTTGATCTGAGAGGGCTGAAAGATAAAAAAAAAAGGCATTGAATGAACAAAGATGAAATACGAAAAACATCCCGAATGTGGCTTGTAAAATGCTATGTGTTTCTTTTTGAAATATAAGCAAATTATAGCCTTTTCAGATTGATTTTAGAATTATCAAGATAGCTGTATAAAAGTTGATGTACATACATTGATTACAAGGAATCCCTCCAACACCAGGGCTATTATTTGGACCAGTTTTTGGAAAACTTAAGACACAGGAAGTCTGGATGCAGCAGAGGACATGTATGTGCCCCTCTCTTCCTCCTCTCTAAGTCAATTCATAGCTCATCTCACACACAGAATCACTTGAGCTGGTGTGGAAAGCCTCAGCCCCCCTCAACACATTCTTGGCCAGACGAGTTTGCAAGTAAAAGCTGAGAGAGGCTATAGATTGTTGTGGTTAGTTTTCACAGGCATTAAAAAAAAAAGCATCTGCTGGAATATGTTGTTTGATTTGGGAACCTAATCAAATTTATACCAGGAAAAAAACCTGTTTGACCAAAACAGGAAAATGCTCAGATCAAGCTCAAGTGCTCTGAATCACTCTGTGGTAGCACTTTTCTCTCTTACACGTATAAAAAGCCCAGATATATCAAATATTAAGCAGTAGGAATAATGCCTTGGAGGTGATAACTGTACATTCCTACATTTTCCATATGAACTGAGAAAATCTTTAATTATTATTTTTATTTTGTAATGGTACCTATAAACAATGAATAGAAACACTAGTTATGAAAGATATTTTTTAAAAAAACTCCAGAAGAGTCAAGGAAGAATCAATGATTCAAAATGATCAGAACTTTTGTGACTTTTTTCAAGATAGCTCATTTTTTTTTGGTCTCCATGGGACTAAAATATGCCAGAACTTCTGCTGAAATTAGTCCCATTTTGTCATCACACTAGACATCAGTATCTCAGAAAGGACACTTAAAAATGTTATTTATTTTTCAAAAAGCAAACGTAGACACATGGATTGTCTCACAGACTGTGACTGAAGTTACTGTACTGAATAGTGAGTTAAAACCTCACCTGAACTCGTACATAAACCACCACATCTACAGGGAAGGATGAATATGCTGATGTTGAGGACGATACTAACGATGTTGTGGATTCTTCTAAGGGATCCTGTATATCAAATTGTCCCATGTCTTCATCCTGTGAACTAACAGCTTTTAACAAGTACAAGAACTCATTAGGTTGTTGAATTTAAAGGGAAGAGCAGCGCAGTGCCACGAGAAGACAAGAAGGAAAAAGGGCAGAGTGCTAGGATACAAATGTGTAGCCTACCTGTGTAATTCCTTTCAATGGGTGTAATTGGAATGGTTTCAAGAGCTTTCTCTAGGAAGTCCAGTAAGCATGGGCTAATCACCATTTCCTCCGGCAAGGACTGGAGCGCAACCCATGCATACAGTTTCGCGGTTTTCACTCCACCGCTTCCTTTCCCTTTGGCTGCAACATGGAAAAGATAAATTTGTCTAATGTAATTCCACTGAACAGTAACTGACAAACATTAGAAGATACTTCATAACTAACAGCTGTTTCCTCTGATGCTCCGTACCATCATCTGAAAAGGTATAAATCAGATCAGTTAGAATAAATTAAGCCATAAGTTTTCACTAGGAAAACTTTGCAAAAATAACTAGTAGTTTGCCATGCTTGATTGCAATTCCATTCCACAGATTCTTGACCAAGCACTCTTACATCATTTTTAAAAAATAGCACTGAAATCAGACACATACAATTCCTTTCCAAATACACAATGCAAAGTAACCACAGCAGACTGGAAATGAACGTGGAATTAGGAAAAACAAATACATAAGCCTGCGAAGAATGGCAGTTTAAACTGAGAAAATACATCCAAAAATTAATACTGAAAATGGCACGGTCTACTACATTTATGCACAGAATATCCAAAGATTCTGAGCCAGCGTTTTTAAAAGCTTGGAACTAGCCAGAGTACAAACTAATAAAAAGATTGTTGCCTTCTAAAATCTGTAGAAGAGGCTTGGATCCAAACTCACCAAAATATAAATATGCACAGAAGGTATTAGTATCAGCTCAATCACTATATCTATGAAATACAGCTATTAAAATGAATAGAAGAGATTGATTTTAAATTATCCAAGAAAAATATAAACATTAACAAAACAACTAAAGCGGAGCTAAAAATTTTTTATTTGCTAAAAAAAACCGCAAACCCCAAGCCCTGAATTTTCATTCTCTGCAAACTATTCTGCCTAGTGCTTCTGACTAGATTGTCCTATCTTGCTCTTACTGGACACCAAAGACAATAAAAAAGGTGGTTTCCATTCTAGGGGAAAAGTAATATTAAAAAAAGTTATATAAATAAATGTGTTTCAAACCAATTCTGAACTAATAAATATTTTTAAAAATACAATGCATAAAGAAAAACAGTTATGGCAATCCCTAGTTTTGGAGACATTTATATCATGATATAAGTGCAATTTCTGTAAGCCCCCATCAAATGTACAACTTACAGACATAAAAACAAGTCTCAGTAGCTAGACATGACATGGTAAAGGCAAAGATTGGAAAGAGGATACGAAAATACAGAACAAAATTGAAGAAAAATAGCATAAACCAAGATTACACAATATTTGGTAATCATAAAGAGGATGGACACTTCAAGGAGGAAGAGCTTATGGTTCAACAGCATGGATAATTGAGGAAGGTGTCCCCATCTCACTTTTCTCTCCCAGCGTCTCCCTTGGTTTTATTTAAAAAACAAACAAACAAATAAAGAAATAAACACACACACAACTTTTTTTCGGTTATTAATTTTTCTTGCTCCTCAAATTTTGACAAAATTTTTGGCTTTGTTTTCAAGTGATATTCAAATGCTGAAGGAGAGAAGAGTGAATGTCTCAGAAGTCAGGGGTGCAATCTACGTAGCTCTAGGTCTGACATAATTTAACAAAGGACTCCTGCTTGAAAACAGGAATCCTTGGACATAAAACAAAACTTGAAGTATCAGACCCCCTGTTACTCCATATCATGGTTATTTAAGAACCTGCAACAGCTGAGGACAGTAGTCTGGTATTTTAATTAATACAAGAAAGTCTAAACTGCTGCTTCAGTACTAAAAGAAATAATCCAGTTCCAGAACGCAGTATTTTGTGCACTACTTGCGCAGCAGAAGGCACTTAAAAGCTAAAAGTATAGTGTAATGTATGGAAGAAGGATTCATCTGATTTTTATTTTTCTTGGATTATGAAGAATAAAGCAGTCAGCATTCACTTTTTACACAGAGATTTAAATTTTGCTGTCCAGTAATAAGCATTTTTTTGCTAAGTAAAAACAGGGAGAAGGCAGTGACAGCCCATCACTGGGATACAGTGACTATGATAGAAATATTACCGAGACCGGTTTGGTAAGAGATTTCTACAAATGCAGCTTTATGAACTACATTCATGCATCTGGAATCAGGTTCTGCAGCCAAAATTAAGATTTGATACAGTGCTTCAGGTAATGTGCAGACAGATCTAAAGCTAGTAGATTACATGAAGGGGAGAGAGATATCTGTGAGAGTTTGAGAAGGTTATTGTCTATAAGTACCTGATGGGATGGGTGGGGGTTGGGGAGGAAGTAAGGTGTTAGTCTTGCTGTGGATAGTGCTAGATAAAGGAGGAGATGTGGCAGTATCTTTCATACCATACAGCTTGGACTCTTTGGAAAGGGTTCTTGGCAAAGAGGATCCTCGAGAAGTATTTGGCGACTCCGTCTTTAGAGTCTTAGAGTTGTAGTGCAACTGGAAAGCAAAGAAACATCAATTTACTTCATACAAGTAGCTCAATTTCTATACAGTGGTTTGGCGTCACTCCTTCCCTTCAAAAAGTTTTCCCCCCATTATTTACAATATTTTTCTAAGATATCATTGTAAGATAGGTTAAGTTCCAATTCATGTTCTGCAGATACTGCCGGTGAACATAAATATCTGAAATTTTGGTACGGAAAGGATATAAATTAATAAACTATTAAAAAAAAGCTAAGGTAAGACAGAGAAACCAAGGAAATGAGCTATTTAGGAACAGCGCCTAAAGCCTGCTCTGTTATGCTGTACGCATCCTGTGCCACCGTTTGCTCCTGTCTGCATGGCTTTCCATCCATCTTACTGCATGATGGAACTATTCCACGACTAAACACCAGCACACAGGAAGTTACATAAAAAGGAAAAATAAAAAAATATTCCAGGAGTTCACACAGGAGTGCAGAGTACACTGCCAATGAAAATACAGAACAGCACAAAAGCTGTAGGGAATGTTTAGTTATTCCTAAATTTGACTAAAAGCAACCAGCCCGGACCTGAGACATGTGTTAACCCTGCAACTAGCCTGGATACTGGAAAATGGACACACATAGCCCTTCTACACTGAAAGACTAGAAAAGCCAGGCTGTTACAAGTGAAGAGCATTATATTTATGGCATTGCCTCAACTGAACTGCATGAAGTTTCCATGCAGCAGTGACCTGTTTTTCCTGTTCTTATTCCCTAGGACTTCCAATCACAAACATTTCTGTTGAGATCTCTTATTTCTAGGATATAGAAATAATGATTAAAAAACCAAAAGGGAGTGTACAGTTTGATGGTGTTTGAGCAAACACTGTCTTCGGAAGGTTTTTATAGCAAGACTCTGACTGCTATAAGCCAGACAGAAGACACAGAGAGCTTTATGTGTTCGTTGGCCAACTACTGAGCTACCCTTCCCATGAATTACCAACAGCAAACAGTTCTTCCTTTATTTAAAAAGGGCATACAGTGTAAATTACCTGTCAGAGAAGAAAACATTCAAAACAGAAGTCTAATTTTAGACACCAAAATGTCAATGGAACTGATTTCATTATGTAATTATCACATACACTGTATGACATAGTTCTGTTTTTGATGGTACATAAAAGATTTTGGGTTTCTTCCCCACTAAAAAAAATGAGGGTAAAAGCATCTACCAGTTTCCAATGTAGAGTCATTATTCCTATTTCAGCATCATTCACATAACTGAAAAAAAGATTTTGCAAAGGTGCTCTGTATATATAAACTTGTACATACTGGGACAATGTACTTGCTTTGAAATCATATTTGAGCAGAGAGGAAGAGCAAGCGCTTCCCTGCTGAGTTATACACGCCTTTTACCTTTACATCCACCCCAGGAATATAAAACACTGTTGTTTCCACATCACTAGATTTTGTCTGTAGAGATGATGGCACTTTCTTGCCAGCAAGTAAGTGAGTAGTAGATGCGTAATTAGTTTGAAATTTTTTCTTTTTTGAAGGAGACTCTTGATCCAGACTTCTGGAACTCCGATCATAGCTCCTAAAATAAATACATTGCATGTTATTAAAGCAAGCTTCATACTCCTACTAATATGAGTACATTTTCTAGTATTAAAAATGTAGACATGTCTAAAACAAATTTGTAGTATCAACTATCTAAAGGAAGCATTTCAATCTCTGCTTTACTCTTTATTTTCTTTGCCCTCTACTCCCTTTCTGTCTGCCCACTCTGGCTTTGCCATTTTCATTCTGTGATTACTTCAGGCAGTAAAACCTACAAAATAATTGTTATGTCCTTAGCAAAACACCTTCCAATGCCCTGTACTCTTACAGTCAAGTTCATCTACATTACCCAACGCGGTATATGAAAATTTTTGATATGCAGAAAACACTTATCAATTCTCCTTCTCGCTTGTAAAGCCCATCTTCATATAAATTCTTAAGAGATTATTTTTCCTCCTGTATCAATTCTTAGGAAAAAAGTGTCTTGGAAAGACAGAAACCAAACTGCTTTCAAATTACAGATCTCCTATCCCTTAGGTGGATTCACTAAGTTGTAAAGTTACTTCTTCATAGGCTGAAAAAAAAGAATCCAAGTACTTTAAAAGCCTAACATTTTGTTTATGAAAGATTTAACATGATCTTAAAAACAAAAGCAGGAGAGAGGCATATGCTGACTCCTGCTAAACAAACACAGCTCCCCATGCCATGCTCAGCCATAACAAAGGCGAGTTATGGTGATACTATGAAGCAGTGGTAATTACTATGAATAAAGTGATGGTAACAAACTAATGCATATATCTTCTGTGCTTTTAAACAGGCCAGCGCCAAAGAGTCAGTAGTTAGGGTGCATATGGTCATAACTTAAGTGACGGAAATATCAGATGGACTTAAGAGCTAAAGCAGAGTAAAGTACTCATACCCTGTTCTTCAGAAGGCAACTAACAAACACGCTTCTTACCTTCGTAAACTGATGTCATCGTGTTCTTGCTGAAGCACTGTAGGGTGCAGTACACATTTTCCACAATCAATTTCAACCCTGATATCAAGTTCAAAGTCAATGTTTCTCTCCGTGGTTGTGCCAGTCATACTTCTGTTGGTAGGTGTTGTTGGCCAGCGCTCAGTGAACAGTTGGTGGACGGCAGCAAAGCCTGTTGCTTTCTTGCGAGACGTACTACTGCACAAGCACAGTTGTGGGTTAGATATTAGCAAGACATGCACGTCAACAGATGGCAGGAGGCATTCTTAGCCTATATCCACATTCAGCATATAATATTTTAAGAACTTTTCTGGAAAAACCTGATCTATTACACAACAATACATTGATCTATCTTCCATTGACACATCACTAAGTATCCTTTCTCACTATAGCGCACTATAAAGAACTAAGCCTTTCTTAATTTCTCAATCAAGAAAAAGAATATAAAGATATATACAATAATTTTCATATTGGTAAATATTTACATTCTTACACGCACTCTGTGGAGACATAATCACTGGAAAAAACTGATAGTTATGCTGCATTTGACAAATGTGCCATATTATCCTGCTAAAACCTGTCACGTGCCTCCAAAACTCACTTTCCAAGTTTTTTGGTTCTGTTCTAAGCCCTGAAATTTCTAGCAGTTGCCTCCTTTTCAGATGAGAATTCCTTCTTCACACTCTCAGTCACCTCTGCCCAACACAACCTCCCCTGCCTTCTGCATACACACTTCAGGCAAAACTCAATCCTTCACCAGTAACACATTCTGTAGCTTTAAAGTCAGTATTTCAAATGTATTTTCTTAATTTCTGTCTTCTTCCTTATGACTACTACTTACGGTGGTTTCCTATAGAAATAGGTCCTCTCTCTTTCATGGTCATCCTCCTTCTCAGAGTCCTCGCTGCTTGATGATAAGCTGTCATCCCGGCGTCCTTCTTCAGGCTGGAAGGGAATGCCGGGTGAGAAGACTACTGGAGGTTTGGGTGAACCAAATACCGAGCATGAGCCTTCACTAGCAGATGAGTAATGGGAGGGACCATCAATAGTTACAGACAAAAGGTCCATTTCTGTCTCCTCTGGGAACTGATTATAAAAAGACAAAAAGATATTAAATTTCCACAGATACCGTTTCCATCAAGAATACGTTAGACAGCTCTGGAAATAAAAAAGCAAGAGTGCTATGAGAAACTCTGACTCCCGAGTTCCTCACAAAACAGACAGCAGGTGTAGAAATTGCAAGATGGATTACGAAAAAGAAAGAAGTGAAAGCTTGGTGGGAAACATTTGCCATTGCTTAGTGATTGAGCTCAGACTGTTAGCTGAATACATACCATGCTCTGACCAACTCTCACCACCAGTAGGAATACAAACACGTCATTCAAATTTAAACAAGATTTTGAAAGAAAAGAACAGAAGACAGACCAAATCATCATGAACCTCGTAGAGGGGCAAGACACCCCGGAGCGTTAGTGAGGCGTGCATGCAGAGTGCTAACACAGAATGTACGGCACCGGTTTGCAGTTCTGGGCTGCGCCCGTGCGCACGCCTGCTTTAACACAAAACGTACCTCAGGCCGAATTGCCGAAAGGGGCCTCCTATTTCTCACATAAAGCACACCACAAGCACCACTTAAGCAATTTTCTAACATTAACTTCTTTAATATGCCTATGAAAAGTATCTAGAAGTGTTAGTTTAACACCAGCAAACCACTGCAGTTCTACTGTAGAGCTACACAGTCGTCATTTGCAAATTGAAATTAGAGCTCTGGCAATATAATGTCAGTAAGGGTTTTTTTTGTCTGTTTGTCTGTTTTTTTTAACATTTGATACCTTTACGTGATGGCATTTTGGTATGCCAACAAAACTGAAGCTAACTGGTCTTACATGTAACAACAATAGGAAAAATGTGAGAGAGCTTCTAAATGTGAACAGATTTAAACGTGCCAAGCACATTTCTATGTTTCATTTCCACCCCTCTTTCAGAAACAGGAATTTATTTCCTGGGAGCATGAGGTGAGTTGGAACAGAGAAAAGGGAGAAAAAGTATTTACTTCCTGGAGTTTTGGGGGAGTTGTGTTGGGTGGTTTTTTTTGGTTTGCTTCTGTTGGTTGGGGGTGTGTTTTGGTTTGTTTGTTTGGGTTGGATTTTTTTTAAGAAAGAAAAAAAATCCTTACCATTTTCCCTAAACATGTTTTTTTAAAGCAGTTAAACTCTACCATTTGTTGTCTGGGTATTACGTTTTCCCTACCAGCTATTATTTGAAAATGTCTTATTCTGCATTAAATGTAGGAATCCCAACAGAAATAGAAGTGTGAGAAGATGTCCTCCCACCCAGTAATTATTTTGTATGGGTGTTGATGCCTGCAATCTCAGAACACAATGTAACAGATGAAGGCACACACACTAAAATCCTCTTCTAAAGCACATTTCAAGGCTAGACTTACATCACTTTATATCAGCCTTGATCAGTCTTCATAAATACACAGACAAAATGCCATTATTTCATTTCACAAAATCTAGCAAGTCTTAGGTCTACATAAGGGTGTAGAAACCCTCTGGAAAGTTCATCAATCAATCAATCATGTTTTTCTGCTTACTTTGCATATTCAGATTTAAATACTTCCAAATTTGATATACATTCTGTTTAGCTGAGTGCAAAAGAGATGAAACATTGAAAAGCAGCTCCCTGTGAGATATATTAGTTCTCTGGCAAAGAATACTTGTTTCTTCTCAGAAATACCTGAAAATACCCTTCCCCTGGACAGCTGGATTGTTGTGCAATCCCCAAAGCTGTTTTATTCAACTTAATTAGGAGTGAAAAAAAACAAACAAACAAACATTAAAACAATTACAATAATCTCAGCCATGCAAAAACAATGTAATAGGAACATTTTAAAAATGAGAAAACATAGCAACAAACAAAACCAAACATCAACCAAAGATTCACCGATCCATTTCAAACACACAGAAGGATATACCTGTAGGACTAAAGGAAACTGACTAATACCCATCTGCAAAACTCTAAATATATTCAAACACAAATAATGCTAGATTTTTGCACACTTTTGATAAAAATTCCAAAACAGCTGTATTACTACATGTGTGTCAGCCTAAAAAAAAAAAATTTTTTTTCAAGTATTTTTGCTAATGTTTCAATTAATTTCTGTGTTAAGAAACCAAAACATATCTGTCTTCTACCAAAACAAATTTATCTTCCCAAAACGTATCAATACTTTGAAGCACAAACACACACACAAAAACATACAAAGCAATTCAGGTCTGCTTTGGTATACCTATCTCATCAATTTGTGGCCAAATGGCACGTGAAATTATCTTAGATGTCATGATTATATGGCATATAAAGTAATTCTTACAGAGTCCTGTATGTTGAAAGTTACTCTTGGCCCCGGAGACGCAGCATCTACACGGATATCTGGGAGGTCTTCACTGTCTCCTAATCGAGAGCTATAAGCAAAACAAGAACACCACAGCTTGTTGAGTTTTACTACAGGATTCTATGTTCGTGTAGTTAACTACACAAACATAAGGCAAAAAAAAAGTCCAGTCAGTACATAGCATTTTGTTACGGAAAAAAGTATACCATTATAATTGAAGCACGTAGGATACATGTAAAGGAAGAAGGAAGGGGAGAAGGAAAGAGAAAGAAGCTACACATTACTCGACTGGTACCCTAATGCTCGCAAATCTCTGCTTATTTCTTTATGCCAGCTTTTCAATCCTGAGCCAAGATGCAGAAATTATAGAAAAATAAGACATTTGTGATTTACCACATGGGACATATAGCAAGTTGGAAGATTATGTATTCTCTGATGCAACTGAAATTAATTATTTGGCCTTGTAGTATATGCATACCGCTTTTCATTCACAACCAAAGTAGCCATTAAGTTTTTCAGAACTCTCTGTTTCCAACAGAGCAACAGAAAAGCCCCGCTATCTTTTCCATACATATTCTGGTTCTCTTCATATAACCTTGTGAAAAGGTAAAATGAAAGTGGTTTTGTCCTGATAGATCTTGAACCAGAACCTTCCTGCCTTTGGCACTTTTTTTGCTTTAATTATCAAGAACGCTAATTAATTCACTAGAAAGATTCCTTTTCAAAAGCACCTTGGAAAGTTCACTTCAGAGTACTTATAAAGCTGGTTTTATGCTGGAATATCTGCTGTCTGACATTTTCACATCTGCATTATTTATAAATTCCCATCAATTCTACAGAGGTGTTCAAACTGGAAGCAAATTTCTATTAAGAATTTCTACTCTCAACGAAAAAAGTCCAAAGAATTCTAACAGCCCTCTCCACCTGTTTAATTTTCAAATCTTTTATATTTCATAGAAACACAGAATCACACAATGATTTGGGTTGGAAGGGACCTTAAAGACCATCTAGTTCCAACCCCCCTGCCATGGGCAGGGACACCTTCCACTAGACCAGGTTGCTCAAAGCGTCATCCAGCCTGGCCTTGAACACTTCCAGGGATGGGGCATCCACAGCTTCTCTGGGCAACCTGTTCCAGTGCCTCACCCCCCTCTCCGTGAAGAACTTCTTCCTGATATCCAATCTAAGCCTCCCCGCTTTCAATTTAAACACGTTCCCCCTTGTCCTGTCACTACAGGCCCTTGGAAAAAGGCCCCTCCACCCAGCTTCCTTGTAGCCCCTTCAGGTACTGGAAGGTGCTCTAAGGTCTGCAGAGCCTTCTCTTCTCCAGGCTGAATAAGCCCAATTCTTCAATACATAATAACCTAGCACATATTTAATTCCAAACTTTGAATGCTTCAGCTGGATCTACAGAAGCAATGGACTCAAACACATGCATTGTAAAACCAAAGCAAACATTTTCTTATGAGGCATCATTATACAACTGCAGTTTGCTCAGCAGCCATTAAATGATGAAACACATCCAATACATGTTACACAGGTGAAGAGATTAAAAGAAAATTATCATTCACAAGAAAATAAGAGTCTCCCTTTCTTCTCCTTACAACAAACCTTTTTTAAGGCAAATGATTGCAAATGAGGTGTAGAAATCAAAAATGATTACACCATGCCATATTTCCTTATATACCTTTCTTCAGCTGCCTTGAAAGCAGGATTTTGTAGCAAGACCTAAGTTGTTGTAGAAGTGGAAACTTCTCCTCCCTTGACATACTACTAAGTCTGTCAAAAAAAGAAGTTTCAAAAAAAGATGCAAACTTGCTTGTTTTAGAACATGTCTGTCTTCCAAAATGACCTACTCCTACCCAGTTCCACCACATATAGCTGCTGCCTACAGTAAAAGGACTCTTACAGCTAAAGCCCAAAGCTGCCTCTGTGACACATGCTGCTGTTGCTTTCACAGATCCCAATTCCCAGACACTTACCTTGTCCTGTCCATTCTCTTCAGAGGTGGTCTTCCTGATGCTGAAATACTCTTAGATCGGCTATAGCTGGGTTTGTAGCTGAGACCCCATTTGTCTTTTAAGGAGGCAGCCTAAAACAAAAAGCAGTACTTAAATGCAACAAATGAGAACACTGGCAAGCTAAAATACTATTTTACTCAGGTATTCCAGTATAGTAAAAAGATTTTTTTTGTTCCATGATAGCTAAAATGCATCTCTTATCAGCATTTGCCAGCATCTTCATGCTGTCTCCTGATACATGGTCACTTTTCATAGTTGCTGGATTTGGGGATGTCCTGTTGCCAGGAGAAAAGTATACCCAAAGTTAATAATAGCACCACTTTGACAGACACCCTTCCTAGCCATCACTACAGTAACAGAAGAACATGACTTAAAATAAGAGCATCTCAGGAAGAGCTGCAAACAGATTACTATTTGAAAGATCTTTTCTTATTAACAAAGCATCATACTTGGAGCTCATACACTAGGACACACTGAAAGTAATTTTTTACCAGGTTTGTTATCAGGGTGTGGGACAACAGCCACATATGTTTGTGGATTACCAGCAACACTGCTTGTTATTTGTATGGTTTCTTCTAATGTTCCTTCAAGCTTAGTAGTTTAGTTTTATTTTTATATCACCTAACTCTGCAACTATACTGTTTATTTATACACAGAACACACATTCAGGAGGCACGCATGCCAAGTGGAATACTAGGTATCACAGAATCATAGAATGGTTAGGGTTGGAAGGGACCTTAAAGATCATCTAGTTCCAACCCCCCTGCCATGGGCAGGGACACCTTCCGCTAGACCAGGTTGCTCAAGGCCTCATCCAGCCTGGCCTTGAAGATAGCCAGGGATGGGGCATCCGCAGCTACTCTGGGCAACCTGTTCCAGTGCTTCACCACCCTCTCCATGAAGAATTTCTTCCTGATACCTAATCTAAATATCCCCGCTTTTGCCCAGGCAGTTAACATCCTTGTCTCTGCATCTGCATTCATCAGTCCAATAAGGAATCATTTTAAACTCTGCTAAGCTAAGGAATAAATGACATCTTTGAATACGTATTTTCTGACTATTTCTTGTGAGTGTGCAAATAAACCCATTTACATGACAGTTTTGGTGAAATTTCAATTCTACTATCACCATTATTACAAAGGAGAAAAACCTTTCCCCCATCCTCACAGAGGTAAATGGGTTGCTGAACTAATTCATATTTCTAACCTTCTTTTCTCATTACTAATATTTTCTTTGCATTAATCATCATGCAAAGAAGAAATATGCAGCACTAGTGCTATAGTATTTTTAAAGTAATGTAATTAATAGTGCTCACCCTCATGCTGGATCTACGTAGCTTTTTACGAACATCTCGGCGGATATCATTCACAGCCACTGACTCCAGCTGCTGATAGCGCTGAATTTCTTGATTGATAGTTCCTTCACTTGCACCTAATTTTCTGGGGATAAATCACCGTTGAGTTATTTTACAAATAGGTGACATTATTTTCACCACTTCTTTTTTTCATGATACAACTTCGTCAGGTATAATATTTTGTCCTTAAGAAGACTCTTTAAGATTTCTGTCTCAAAAACAGAAAGCAGAGCAGTAAGAGGATGTAGAACAGACCAGTGTGCAAGGAGACCCCCAGACAACAGTGGCATCATGATGCTAGCTAAGGTTGAAAATAAGAATGGCTATGCAGCAACTCCCTTGCTTCATAAAGCCCGAGTTGTAACAACTAGATTAAGGATGACCTATACACTTTAAGTAAACAGCTGTCTTGTGTCTGAAAAGCAAACATAATGGGCAAATTGAGAATTCCCACCAGGATGAAGAGGAGCCCTCCTGCTGTAGCAGTCCAAAGCCCTGCCACACCAGTGACAGCCTTCTGTAGCAGAATACGTAATTTAAAAAATGCCATAAAGTAACCTCTGTTTTGAAAGAATCGCAATTTACTGAAGCACTCAAACTGACAAAAGGCAGACACAAAACGTAATATTGATTCTTGAACTCATGTTAGAAGAAACATTTAACCAAAAATCCAAAGTTCAGATACAATTGCCCTCTGAATGGTGACAGCAATTTTATTCCAAGTACATGCAGCAGAACGCATCTCCTCTTCATTATTTAACACATAATTACCAAGCTCTGTATTCCCATCCCAGACGGATCCGTTTATATGTCTTAGAGAAACAGGTTGGGAAGCAAGCCCAACAAACCATGACTGTGAAAATTAATAACATTCACAGAAATATAAATTATGAAATTCTGAAATATTAAGTAATTATTTCTTGAGGTTTTTCCTCAAGTACATCATAGGAGATTTAATTTTAAAATATCACCCACAAGATGCAAAAATAGTCGGTTAAAATAATCTTCCAGTGAATGAGACTAAGTTTATTCCGGTTACAAAGTTAGGTATTTTGTTGAAGTAATCACCATGATAATAAATAAAAATGGAACTCTGATTATGAATCAATAGGAAATTAATTATTATCAGACATTACAATGCAGAAAGAATATAAGCTAATTTGACACTTGGGAAAGAATCAGAGAAAAGTGAGAGAGAGCACTTGCATATATAGTTTTTTCTTATGGAATCCAAAAGGACAATCTTTTACTTTTAAATAAAGACAATGATTTCCACTTGACCATCACAATGCCACAAGATACGTGGTAAGAAAGCAAAGAAAAAAAAGTCAGCTGCAGTTTGTTACTCCCAAACTTTGTGCAAGTTAAAGCAAAGCCCAACTTACTTTAAGTCATCAATGACTTTAGCTTGTTCATTGAGTTCTCTAATATCAACTAAACGTTTCACAAACTTTCTTCCTCGCTGTTCTCCAGTCTGGATACTAGAAGCTCCCTGCCGTCGGTGATCAACAATCTCCTGTTTAAAATAAACATTTAATTAATGCCCTCATCAAAAACTGGACATGGGTGTGATGTAACAACAGGCAAAGTGAATTTCACACCTTAAAATTTGGACTAGTGCATGCAAAAGAATCAGTTTCATCTCAAAAGGCAGCTGATTGGATTTTTTCCAGTGATCCAAAACCCATCATTCAGTTAGACACACCATAACTACTACATACATGTCCCCATGAGCAGGATCTGCCTGCTTTCATATGTGATCTGCTAGACTGAAGAGAATCACACTTCGCTGACCCCAACAGATATTCTACAGGAACAGAGTATCGATGGTTTGGGGGGCTCAAACCCAGCAGGTGATTTACAATCCGCCGCCCAAATGTTAGCTTGCGTGCATCTCCACATAATGAACCTCCACCTGATTTCTAAACAACAAACAGCAACGTTAGTGTTCTGGGATAACGTTTTCACTCTTGGCAGGCAAGAGACACCTAAAATAGTCATTAAAGAACATCTGTTAAAACTTTTTTTTTTATATGAGACCAAAAAGTATATTTCGTAGAAGTACCAAAAAAGAATTTTTTCTAATTTGCTCATGTTAGTAACTTACTCTCCTGTTAAGAAAAGCTATCTACTGCCACAGCTTTTCCAATTCTGGTACCTGGAGTTAGGTATTCTATTCTCCATAGTTCCAAATCCAGATTGGTATGTCCATATAACACCAGTAGAAATATGATGTGTGATTTCTTATCTTTGAAAAATGGACTTAGAAAACTAACACACAAACTTTTTTGATTGCAGCAAGAGTTGTAAAAGCTATAAGGAGTAGCATGTTGACATCAGCTCAAGACTAAGATCTTTACATTTGGCTGAAGACTTTGTTTTCCAACTAGTAGCACTTATTTTGGTTGATTCACTTACTGCATGTATAGTGGGAGACATAGTGTCAACTTCGTCCTCATCCGAAAGGTCAGCGATGTTTACGGAGTTGAGGTCAGCAATATCATCAATATCTTCTTCTCCTGTCAATGTTGTGAGGGTGTTGCCTAAAGCATTCAATCTTTTCCCAATGTTTGGATCCATATGGACATCAATACCACACATCTTCCATAACACGTTCAGTGTCCAGGTTCCAGCACTACTACTTTCTGTATTAAAAAAAAAAGTGTTTAACCCATTTTTCCTCTTCTAAAAAATCCCCCATACCAGGTTATGTATTAGTTAGCAGAGACAGCTCTTATCAGTTACAAAGAACTGCCTCTTCTGCCCACTCTGTGGAAAACATATTCCACAACTGAAATGCTTGCTGGAAGTATTTCTTTAACAAGTGACATACACAGACAAACCTAATGAAAATACATTCCCTTCAGCCAAGCTGATGACCAGGAGAGAGCACCTCCAACTTCAGCTCTTGCAACTGCAGCCAAGTATAACATTCCAGAACACGAATTCTAACAGCAAGAAAGCTAAAGGATGTCTTATCTGCATGGAAAAATGCCAACCTATTTACAGTTTCAAATCCTGAATAATGATGCTGGAAGATGTTATATGTGTGAAGTGCCTGCTGAATCACCTGTATTCCCAGAACTTTTCTAATAAGTATTGCCACCTTTGAGCATCAAAATACAGAACTTGCTTTAAGCAGAACTACACAAGATACTCTTTTTCCTTCTAAATAGGTTTATCCTGGTTTTCTTCATTCACAATTCCATGTGAGGTAAATCTTTAATGGTTGCAGCATGTGTTTCATTTTTATGTCTCCTCAGCACAAAAAAAGCAAGCAGGGACAATGAGCAAAACTACAGGGACAGGAGACACCGTAGATGCTACAGCTGGGCACAGAGATGAGAAGAAGCAAGCAGCAGGAACGATGACCAAGAGTGCCAGGTGTTCTAGAGGCCTCTGGACAATGTCCAAACAACTCATTAGGAGAGACTGGGAAAAGAGGGAGCTTGGGAAGGATAGAAGCTATCTCTAGAAGAGGTGAGGGGGGGATGGAAGCTCAGGAT